CGGCCGCGGGGCCGTTGATCGCGTCCACGGTAATCCCCGGGGCCACGCCTTCTCCGCGCCGAACGACGCCGCGTAGGCGTTGAAGAAGGCGCTCCCGGCGTCGGGCGCGTCGGGCGCCGCGAGGCGCGGGTCCGACGCCCGCGCCGCCGCACCGGCCGAGGCCGGCGGCGCGCCGAGGAGCACGTTGTCGTCGTCGAAGTCAAAGATCGTCGCCGCGCCCGCGTGGATGGCGTAGAGGTAGCCCAGGTTCTTGCGCGCGAAGTGGTCCCAGGGCGTCGCGCTCGCGAGGCCGTAGGGCAGGGTCTCCTGCGCCGCGGCGCTCAGGTACGCGACGGTCGCCGGCGCCGCGGCCGCGAGCGCCTCGTAAGGGCCGTCGGCGGTCTTCCGGTCGCCGACGACGACGAGGCACCAGCCCGACGCGTTGCCCACGCGCAGGATCGCCTCGCTCGGCGGATTGATCGTCGTCACGACGCCGCAGCGCTCGCAGGCCGACCAGGGCCGCGGCAGCGGCGACGCGCTCCGGTTCACCGTGTCGCCGAGGCGCGGCCCGGCGTAGGTCGCCACGCGCTGCGGTTTGTAGCGCTGACCGGACGTCGCGGCGCTCGACGCGCCGAGGTCGCGGCGCGGCCGCGCGCGCTGGGACGACGTCACCAGCCACAGGGCCGCGGCCGCGAACAGGCGCCGCGGGCAGCCCATTGTCGCCAAGGAGTAATAAATAGTATATATATATAGGATCAAAACCAAGAAGGACCTCACCAAGAGACCTTAATATCAATATGGACCCCGCCTTCCAAAATAATGTCGAAATGGACCTCACTTCAAAACAAAATATCAAAAGGGACCTCACCGTCCACCATTTTTGACCATCATTACCTGGAATTTAATGTCCCATCATATCGACGCGTCTTCCCATAATTAATACCAAGACGGACCTCACCTTCAAATTTTTGTTGTTTTTTCTTAGAGAAGGAGCGTGGTAGCGCACCACGTGCGTGGGGCCCCGCTTACATGGGGCGACACTCCCGTGGCCTGAGCTGCCTACTCTTCGTCGGAGTCGGGGTAAAGGCCGCTGGGCTTGAATTTGAAGTAGTCCTCGAGTGAGCTCGAGCTACAGGGTGGTAAACTGATTAAATCCTACTTGGGCGTACTCGGGGAGGTGTCGGGCGACTTCCCCTTGGCCCCCGGCGAGTTCCTGGCACCGACTTTCTGGGCCGACTTTCTGGGCCGGTCGGTCGCCGCCGCCGCCGCTCAAGCCGTCTGAATCACCCTGGGGTTTTCCCGTTGTTATAGTGCCTAAGCCACAGAATAAGGGCTGGCGCATGTGGCCGAGCTCAAGCCCGGGCCGCTGCGGCAGAGACAAGAGTAGCATAGCGCTCTTCCAGAGGAGCCAGGAACGCCTAGGATACCCGTAACGCAGTCTCACTCTGATCTGGGCTATGCTCCCGCTTTCGCGCTGTGCATTGGAATCCATGGCTGAAATTGCTTTGAGTCGGCTTGTGACGTGACCCAGGTGCGGGGTGGGTTGGGGACCGGCTGTCAGAGCGCTTCCGAGCTCCGACAGCCACTCGATCCCGCATACGTATGCGTTTAACACAACGCCGGAATGATATATATCACGAATAACTAGAGTTAAGATTTAAAATAAGGGGGGTCGACCCCTACTTCGACGACGCCTCACAGAGCGACGGCAGAGAGAAAACATGACCAGCAGAATGCAGGAGGCGGAAGGGTGACTCCACTCAGAGTAGACCGCTCGAGGCTGCGTCGCACCGGCCTCGGGCTGCGCCCTCGGACGGTACTCCTTGCCCCTCGGGTCTACTCTTCACTGGGAAAGCGCCACGTGCGTCTATGCGCTCCTCGCTGCGTGCGTCGTGTTCGTGCTCGAGCTCGGCGCGACGTCGAGCGCGTTCCTGGGGAAGGTCAATTCGTCGCTCCCGTTTTCTGTCGTGATGTTCAGGCGCATGATTACCCAGGAGGTGTTTTTCTCCGAAAGTGTCGCGAAGGCGCTCCTCTACGTCGCGCTCGTCCCTTCCATGTTCGCGCGATGGTCCGTGCTCGTCTGGCCGGGCGTCCACCTCCTCGCCGTCGCCGCGCTCTACGTCGGCGACGCGCTCCTGCCGCCGCGGGCCGCGCCGGACTTTGGCGTCTACGCCCCCGTGCCCTCCGAGACGACCTTCTGAGCAATCGAGGCGCTCCGAGGTCGGCCCGAGGCTCGCGCGCGCCCACCGGCCGGTTCCGTCGACCTGAGCCCCGCGCCGCCGCGGACTAAGCTCCCCTCGCGCCCACCGGCCGGTGCCGTGCCTTGTGGCGCCGGAGC